TTTCGAATTCAACCCATGTTCTCAAGCAGTGTAAAATGGAGGACACTGACAACGCGTTGACAGACAGGACCGAGCAGGTAATATTTAATATGAAATAAAGTCTCAACTTTCAAATTTGGTCAGTCAAAGAAAATGAAACAATAAATAGGCCTACTGTTTTGTGGCTCTTTAATGTGTCGTGACAGATTGCCTGATAAAGCCACCGATGTGATGGTGCGTTCATGTGCTATGGAAAATAGGATATTTTCCACTTGTGAACTGGTATTTACCAGTGTGTTGCGTTCAAGTGCTTTTGTTGTCGTAATGTGGTAAAAAGAGGGAGATCCAGACCTGTTATTTAGCTAAAACAATTATAGATTGTTTAAGTCATCTGCAACAGCAAGAAAATGATTTAGCAAAACTCAAAAGGTAAATAATATGCTGTATATTTTCTAGATCATGAATAGTATATATTTTTACCATTCACAACTCTCGCGGTGCTCTCCACCATTTTGAAAAGGTCAAAGGTTATCTCATCTTGGCAACTTGTCCATCAAAATATTCTACAAGTTGCCCAGTGGAAAATACCACACGAGGGGGTGTTCATGTGCATTTTCCACGTCGGCTTTTGGTAGTTTTATTTATTTGTTTATTTATTTATTTCCTTTATTTTTCCAGGAAGGTCCCATTGAGATCTCTTCCTCCAGGGAGTCCTGGCCAAGATGGCCACACTACAAATCACACACAAACACACGACACATGTAAAACATTCCAGAAAGTCAGAGCACAATATTCATCATAAATCAAGTAAAACAACAACATGATTCACTCATTGCAGACTGCAGTAGGTTTTTAAAAACATTCAGAGGAGGAATAGTTTCTAGAGAGACAGTAGCTTGAAATTCGTTTCACAGCCATGGAGCATAGTAAGAGAAAGATGATTTCCCATGCTCTGAATGTACCCTAGGTACTACTAATTTAATCCCATTAGATGATCTAGTGTTATAGTTCTTTCTACATGTACATAGAAGACTAGTAATGTAATTTGGAAGCATACCCAATAATGTGTTTACAACAAATACTAACATATGGGATTTTCTTCTTTGATATAAAGAGGACCAACCCAAATAGTTGTACAACATACAATGATGAGAACGTGAACAAGAATTTTGTTATAAAACGCAGCGCAGCATGATACACACCATCCAGCCTTTTCAATAGATATGTAGAAGCATGCATGTAAACAACATCACCATAGTCTAAAATAGGTAAAATAGTACTCTGTATTATTCTCTTTCTAGCTGTAAAGGAAAAACATTTTTTTTTTTTTGAAAAAGAAAACCCAGTCTTGGTTTAAGCCTTTTCACCAAGTAATTAATGTGAACATCAAAGGCTAACTTCTCATCGAGCCATATTCCTAAATATTTATAAGTTGGTACTCTTTCTATATGTAAACCCTCAATAGTCAGAATAGGCACAGTAGTAGACATAGAACGGCTACATGTAAAAATAAAATACTTCGTTTTATTAACATTTAAAACAAATTTCAGTTTCAACAAAGTAAGCTGGAAAGTATAAAAGGAATCCTTAAGAATTTCAATAGCCTGAGAAATAGAGGGTGCAGTAGAGTAAATAATTGTATCGTCAGCATAAAAATGTAGCTTTGCCGAATGTATTCCCTGTCCCAAATCATTAATAAAAATAGAAAAAAGAAGTGGTGCCAGTAAAGAACCTTGCGGGACAATTTCCTGACTATTTCCATGGATGAGGTGTAGTTATCTACAGCAACGCATTGAGTTCTATCCGATAAATAATTTTTAAACCAACTCACAGCTAAATTATCGAGGCCTACACTTTTAAGCCTCTGTAACAGTAGAACATGATCTACCAAGTCAAATGCTTTTGTCAAATCAACCAATAAGGCGCACAATGTTGTCTCTTATCAAGAGCAGTGATTAAATCATTAGTAACTGATGTAGTAGCTGTTATCGTACTATGGCCTGCTCTAAATCCTGACTGAAATGAGTTCAAAATATTACGACTGTGTAGAAACTCTTTCAATTGATCATTTAAAATAGACTCAAAAACTTTTGCTAAAACCGGTAATTTAGAAATCGGACGATAATTATTCAAATCGGAAGGATCGCCTCCTTTTAATAATGGCATAACCATAGCCGATTTCCAAGGTGGCGGAATTACATTACTGGAAATACTCAAATTAAAAATCGATGCAATAGGTTCGGCAATAATATCTGCAGCCAATTGTTGGTTCAATTCGGTCAGACCCGCCTGATTTCCTACAATCTAAATTTGAGAGTAGTTTATGAACTTGGGACGGTAATACAGGGGCAAAAGAAAATAAATCTGCATTACTAATAGTCAAGTCATCTGTTCTTTGTTCATCATTGACCAATGAATTGTCTGTTAACAAGCTAGCTGAAACAAAGTGACTATTAAACATATTAACAATATCAACCTTATCTGTAATTAATCTTTCATTGACTTTTAAAACTTTTGGAAGACTAGTAGATGTATAAATTTAGAAGGACAATTCATGTTATCATTAATAAGGTTTAAATAATACTGACTCGAACTTTTTATTAATTTTGTACTCTTATTTCGTAATAATCTATATTGAGACCAGTCCTCCTCACCATTTGTCTTCTTTGCTTTAGAGCAAGCCACATTTCTTTGCTTAATAAGATTAGAGACGGATTCATTGAACCAAGGATTATTTCTTCCTTTCACCCGAAATCTACATAAAGGATAGCCTGGATGCCAGCCCGAACTCCGCCCACAACATTTTTTGGACGGGAAGTTCGGTCTGGACTCGATCCATTGAGGAGTAATTATGACCGGTTCAGAAATCATCGGGCCAATCAAATTGCCAGGGCGGGCTTTATACGATGATTGACAGGTGGTCTTCAGTAACGTAATCCTCACATCATCAAAGTGCGCTTGTCAAAGTTGACTGCAGCTGGAGAATTGAGATGTATAGATTCCGCTGTCAGGTCTTTTGTAAAAAAAAAATCGACAGTGCATTCATTTTAATAGACAAACAGAGAACTGCAATCAAGGCATTTGTCGATTGGAAAGATATCTTTGGCGTCCTTCAGTTCCTACATGATTCGGGAAAAGTGTAACTTATCAGCTGACTCTGACGGTCGTTAAGAAGATGGGACGTAATGAAAAGCCTGTGGTCGTTGTGGTTTCTCCTTTGGTGGCACTCATGGAGAAGTAAGTAAAAGAAGTAACACTCGTTATTTAACTTCTAAAAGAAATAAAGTAGGCTACGTTCTGTATTTGAAAACTGCGCTATGCAAAGGAGTTGACTTATGCGTTGCTCTGATTGGTTGGTAGGTCTACCGACTATCCAATTGAGTGCAGAGGTGTTTTTTTTTCCTGGTTCGGTTACGACACGCCTCATAATCAAAGCCTAATAGGGCATTTCAGAATGTTTGTAAACAATAGGCACCGCGATACTTCCGGTTGAATCTATGGCAAAAATATGTTGTGTTTGGGGTTGCGCCACCAGATATAAAGCAAAAGGTGTAGGTTTCTTATCGATTTCCTTCAGAAAAAAGTAAATCTATCCAGCAGAACCTGTGGGTGAGGAGGTTAAAGCGAGTGGACGTCGTCAGAAGTGCATGTCGTCTTCTAATTATGAGCCTGAGCCCGATTTAAACCCAACTATTTTAATACGTGGGTCGTTATATAACTGACGTTCTCAACTAACTTAGTTATTTCTATTACTTTCTATGTTACTTTCTTTTGAGCGGTGAGTAAATGCTTCTTCATCGTAAATGCTTCTGATTGGCCAATGCGTTCAATAAATCAACACATATGTCTGTGATTGGCTACATCGCTCATCGCTGCAGTCACGTAATAAAAAGAAACTCTGCCATGAAAGTCATTTCTATTTTGTTTTAGTTGTTCTTGTTGCTTTTCTGTAACAGATGAATACAAATGTATTAGTTTTTATTTGTTTTATTCATAGATATTTCTAGTTTGCGGGAGTCCCGCGAATCGTTTTATTCTCCTGCAATCCGCACACACAGAGTGCATTACCGCCCGCACTCAGCCATCAGATCTAGTCCCGCGCCGCGGTCTCTAGTGCGTTGGGAGTGCACGTCTCTAGATCAAAGAATCTAAGCTTTAATGATCATGTTAACTATGTCTGAATTTCCACCACGTCTGTTCTTGAATCAACTGTTGAAATGTAGATTAGGCTTCTGCCGGCGGTGTGTCTTCCTCCATGCAATTTACTAGTGTTGCCATAGGGACGCTTCGGCTTTTGCCACCCGGAAGAACGTCTATTATTGTTGTGACGTCATGGTGAATTGTCGTATAGAGCGGTTTCAGACTCATATTCTTTCTTGAATATGAGTATGACCAAGTCAGGCTACGTAAAGGAGCATGCTTATCACACATTTCTAGAAAGATAGATTTGAAATAATCCCAAGCATCAACCACATCAAGAATAATTGAAGCCAACTGTAAATCACTATTATATACATCATGCAAAAAAGCCTGTGTATTAAAATTTTTAAATTGATGTTTAAACGTCCATAATTACCATAGCACATGAACGCACCATTAATCTACTAACTCTCCTGACTGCTTTGTCAGACAAAAATGGTGGATTTTGACTAATCAGATCACACATGTCTGTCAATCAAACTCCAAGCGAAGGATGAATTGACGCTAATTTAAAAGTGAAAGTGATGTAAAAAAAAAATTGTTTCGTTTTCAAACTAGCGCATATTCAGGGCACAATAACAAAACAGTTCTATTCCGCACTACCACACCATTATGAATGCCCATTTAAACCCGTGCAAATGCGCGCATTTTACGTTTGCCTTTTAATTAGCGATTTAAAAGCCCCCGCTGGTGACACCGTTATTACCGGTGTTGTCGCGCGTCGAATAACCGGTGAGAAAATATCCTCACCGTCACATCCCTAACACACAGACACACACACGTACACACATACTTAATCTGTGTGTGTCTCTCTCTTTCAGATGCCTGTCTATATCAGTGTGAGGACATGGAGGAGGATTTCACTGGAGAACTGAAGTATAACACATTGGTATGTACACGCACAAACTTACATGTTCACACTCACACACACACACACACACACACACACATAGACAGACTCTCACTCACTCACTCACTCACACACATCGCAGGCACTGAGCTGAGTAAGTGTGTGGCTTCTGAAAGGAAATGATTGAGCTGTTAATCACCCACACTGAGAAGAGCTGATGGGAAAATATTCTGACTCAAGATCACCACGAACATGAATTCACTTATTTAGAATAAACACTGCAATGTTCCATTAAAGGTCCCCTGACATGAAATTTTCATTTTCTGAGGTTTTTTAACATTAATATGAGTTCCCCTAGATCAGCGGTTCCCAAACTTTTTTTCTTGCGCACCCAACCGGGTTGGCGCACCCCCAGTCCCCACCAAAAAAAAACAAAAAACAAAAAAACGCAACAAAGCTTTGTTTTATCGCCATATAAAGACTCATTTTTTATCATGCTCAAATAACCAGAACATGCATGACAACAACATCAACAAAGTTTAAATATGCCACACGCACAAGCTTCTCTTTCACACGTAAGTTATTATTCGAACTGACCTCCAACGTGAGTTTTTCAAGGCGACCGTTATTTAGAACTTGTCATTTTAATGTTTTCATGGTGACGCGTTATTGCTTGTCACGGGAAACAGCGCTGAATGGAATCTGCTTTTGTCATTTGTCCTTTTTTTATCAAAGATGTTCACAAATGTATTAGCTCGAACATGAAACACCGATATTCCCATTGTCAAATATGTGTAGTGGAAGCGTGTTGTTTTTAGACGCCTTCACAACGTGTTGAGCTGTATGCGCGATGGATAGTTCAGAGAATCGGATCTGTTGGATTTACAACACGTCAGTTTCTCCACTTCTCACGACATGAAAGTAAGAGGCCGGTGAACTGGGAGAAGAATAGGGTAAAATGTGAAGCTACCTACAAAATGTGTATCTGAAATGATAAAACGTGTCGTCTTAATATAATGAAACGGATTATTATTGCCGCTTCCATAGATATCAGCAAAATCAAAATCATTGTTTTGCTAGTACTTATGTGTATTTAAATGTCTGAAACTTAAAATAAACATGTGGTTGAAAACACTCAATAGTTGTGATATGACAGCACTGGCTCAGTGCCAGCCAACACGCGAAAGCACGTTTGAATTTAGAAGTTGATAACGTATATATATATATAACGTATTGAGAATGAGGAGGTGACGTCACGCGTATAACTCCGCGGTGCATTGTGGGATGGATCCGCCATTTTGGGAGGACACGCTATCCGTTGCCATGATTACTTCGACCGTGAGACTGAGAGAAATAGCGACAGAGAAGGGGTGCAGCTTGATATTTATTTGCATTTTTGCGATAAGGCACACTTTCTTGGGAATAAATGAAGCAAAAGGAGAGGGTCTCTATCGGGAGAGACTACATAACAACACTAAGCATTACTATTACTATTTAGAGAAACTACTTGTCATCAACATACAGTATGGACCCGTACGACCTGCTACAGAATGGACGAAAGACCCGAAGCACTACCACCTTTCACACACCCTGACATAGTCAAGCACCTGGTTTATGGTAACAGTGCTTAACGTTACTGCTACACAATGCAAGAGTTCAGAAGCTTTAACTCATTAGAAGCTTATCATATGAACAATTCTGATGTGGCTGGGTGCAAGAGAAACCCCCAATCCTGTAACGTTAAACTGCGAGAATTCAGTCAAAGTTGATGTTTCAGGCTTCATTCATATGTGGAAATAAATCTGATTTGAATCAGATATGTGCATTTGCACCTGCCATGCAACGTCAAACGGACGGATAGGACATTCCCATAGACATATACACTAGACCTCACCTTGGCTACGGCAGTTCATTGGAACGAATGCGTCAATAGAGCCGCCATCTTGAAACAGGGGAGCCCCTCCACTTTAATGCATCAGCGTCAATGTAGTAGACACAGGTCTAACGGAAATAAAATCACCATAAATCATCATGAATGCGATTTTTCTTGTTTTTTTTTGGTTTGTTCCAACGGTCAGACATGTATTTATCATTGATTCCAAAAAGAAAAAAATTTGTTTTTTTTTTAAAAAACATTCTTCTTAGTTCAGATTTCATCCGTGAACATCATACGCTGCACAAAAGTCCGTCACCATCAATGAATTCGAAGTAAAGGCAGAGATAGCAGCCTTACCTAGCTACTTCCTATGACTTCCTATCGCGCCTCTCTGTACTAGTTCGGTAGTTCTGAAGGCGTTGCCCCTGGCAACCGATAGTGTATCCTCCCAAAATGGCCGAACGGCTCAGACCCCGCCCATATTGGCACGTGACTCCTCACTCTCAATAGCGGCTGCAGTGCAGAGACAGCAGCTGTCTTCTATGCTCTATCAAAAACTGATAAATTATAGGTTTTTTTTTATTTATAATATAAGCGATTTCAAAGGAAATGTTTACAGTTCATGTGTTTTTTTTTTTTTTGTATGGAAAAATCCCTCCTAAAAAACAGACTGCCATTACATTTTTCCTCTCTTGCACCCCCTGGTGGCAGCTCGCGCACCCCCACAGTTTGGGAATCCCTGCCCTAGATTGTATTTGGTCCCCTCGTGTCTAGAATTTTCAATCAGTGTAAACCGAGCTTTGGCTATTTTTCTCTTCTCTGCATCCGTCTGCATCTCAGACGCGCTGATCTAGAATCTCCCCCTATATAACGTCATACGGGGGAAAGGTTACTCCCCTTTCTCTGCTTTGCCTGCCCAGAGAATTTGGCTGGCCCCTGAGAAAACGAGCTAGGAACAGGAAGTACGAACACATGCAGGCGCGTTTTTATTTTTTCTTAGAGAAATAGCTTTGAGATTTGAGTTTTTCCTCGAGAAATATCATGGCTTGCAATCGAGCAAAGCATGGCAGTTGCTCAGTGTTCGGATGTACAAATTAACACAAAAGTATTTTTTAGTTCATCCGCGCCTCTGAAGAAACAATGGGTTAAGTTTATTTTCTCTGGAAATGCGCCGACTCAACTCCCAAAGTTGTATATGGTCCAAACAGGCAGGAGACAGTTAAGTTAATCTTTCTCTCAAAATCGTTAGATACTGTTTATGCATCAGTAAGTCAAGCCAGACTGTTATCAACTTCACGTCGTTTCTTTGAGTAGGATGAAAATAATCTTATTTAAAGAAAGTGTTTAGCAGGATTGATATTCTAAAGGGCAAGCACGCGCTGCTTTGTTTATGTTATGTGTATCTCCAGCCGGCAGCGTCGGTTTTCCTTTTTTGAATGACTAATATAGACTAATATATCTGCAGAAATACAGTTGGCTTATTAAACGCAGGTGCAGAACGCACATTCTAGCTGTCAGTCGGCTGCAGTTCTCTTGGTGAGTTCAAGTGCAGCTTTTTACCTCGACGAGAGCGGATGAGTTCCGGGCTTTAGAGAGAACAGAAACTGCGTTACACTGCACAACGAAGGTCCTACTGTATGTACATCATCGTGTCTGCATTGGTGAAAGCAGAGAGTGCAGAAACTGCATTATACAATAAGATCTTCATTCTCGCGATAGACAGACTGTCATCTGCTGCTCAATGCTCATCACAGCAACATTTTATGTGAACTTCAAAAACTTCTCACGATTCAGTAATCTCGATATCTGTAATAGTAAAAACGTATAATAGCTGTAGTAAAACGTATTCAAGAGAGTTTCACATGTAATATGTAGCTATTTCATATGCAAGCATGTCAGCCAATCACAGCAGTGGGTGGTTACATTGAATCCCACAGCAGACACGCCCCTTCAAACAGAGCGTTCTAAGCAGAGGCTAAAATCAGTCTAGGAAAAATGCCTCTTATTTCTAAATTATGACTATTTTGATCTAAAAAAATATACTAACATTATGAGGGCAACCCAGGAAACATTATAAAATACTAAAAAAAAAAAAAAACACATGTCAGGGGACCTTTAAAAATAACAGCATTCTCTAGCCCGAATGCTCCTTACAATCGCTAACATCTTCAGCTAGCCCGAATGCTTCTCACGATCGCTGACATCTTCAGCTAGTATGATGCTCGCCTGGCGGTTCATTAGAACATATGATTGACATTAGCAACAGATGTAACAACAGGAGCGCAGCAACAGATGTAACAACAGGAGCGCAGCAGGAGATCTGATCATGTCTCTCTCTCTCACACACACACACACACACACACACACAGCTGGACCGGGATCTGGTCCTCACCCTCGACCCTGATGACCTCACGTCCCCATGGAAGAACCTGGACCTCACCCTCACAGGTGCGACTCTTACACACCAATATCGTTATTGGCCTAACCCATTATTGGCTAATGATTGGATATCATTTTGATAACTGAATTTCCTGAGGTCCAATTGATTATCCTTCTCGATTATTTAAGTAAGGGTTAATGCCCGACGAGGTGTCCATTGTCAGGTTTTAATGGACGACGGCGAGGCGTGAACCCCGCCGACGCGCAGCGGAGGACGGTTGCCTCCGCCGAAGTCCATTAAAACCTGACAATGGACACCTCGAAGGGCATTAACCCGCTTATACCACGGTCACTTGCCAAATAAAACATTTTTAAAACATTAGCTGCTAGTTTATATTTTAATTAGGCTAAATCAAGTTTTTACAAATAATAACTCGCCTGGTTTATTTAGCAACCGGAGATATTTATAGTCCGCTCAGCTTGTAACCTTCAGGTTCAAAAATGCATTTTTCTTTTCATGAAACACAAAGGTAGGCATAGTTTTTTTTTTTTTTTTTATTATTACACATAAAACAATTAATCAAACAGGCTTCTTAGGCTTGAAACGCTGTACTCTCCTCCTGCCTTGGTTGTCTGCTGCGTAAAACTCCCGCAGGGTCTCATTAAGAGCAGCAGCGGTGTAATTTTCTTTGCGACATTTCTCCGTTTTATTTACATTTTTTCTTTCTTCAGCAGCATCCCAGTCGTCAAAGTTGTCATATTCTCCATAAATGTTAAAAGAAATAACGAAGTCGCTCATTGTTGTATTAGTAGGCTATGTAATATCTAACTAACGTTAGATGTTTGTTTTGATAGAGCAAATTGTTAACCGATACTTTGACTGCCTGTTGCTATGGTTACTCACAGCTGTTGTGGGCAGCGCATTAATTTATTCATTTCGAATGGTAAATAGGCAGTTTCACCAGAACTACTTTACTAGGTGTCCTCTATCACTTTTTAACGGACACCCTGCAGCCAATCAGAATCGAGTATTCACCCAGACCATGGTATAATACAATTTAATTTATCCAAGCGGAAACAGAATTTGGGGGGGGGGGGGATAAATAATTTATTTCAAGATAAACCCCAATATGCAGTAATGACCCGCTCACCATGTTATCATTACATACTGTATATTTATAAAAATATTACACTAGCACACTTTCACATGTGTAAATGTGCTGTGTGTGTGCGTGTCTCTGATGTGTGATGTGAGTGTGTGAATGATGTATGTGTATGTGCGTGTCTCTGGTGTGTGTGTGTGTGTGTGTGTGTGTGTCTGTGATGTGTGTGTGTGTGTGTGTGTGTGCGTGTCTCTGATGTGTGTATAAATTGTTTCTTTAATTGTAGGTGAGATGCCGATCATGAAGGATGAGATGAGAATAACACAACCTCTGCCAGTGGACATGTGTAAGCCTCTGTTTATGAGTATTATGAGTATTAATATTCTGCTTATAGCAGTGTTAACATGCAGCATATTCCCAAACCTTATTTACAGCTCTAGTGCATTAAAATCATGATAAATATTCAACCATATAAACCAATTATTCAATTTATTAATAAAACTACAGCATAACTGACAAACTCGTGTGTGTGTGTGTGTAGTTTTCCAGGTGAAGACCGAGCCTCCATCCCCGTCCTCGTCTCTGACCTCTGACAGCTCTATCCCGTCTCTACCTGAAGCTCAGGTACACACACACACACACCTGACTACACTGTCACATGTCCTCACTGTTCACTCTTTCAGTCTACCTGACCCGGTGACTCAGTTAAAGCACTGACGCACTAAATAATGCCACAAATCTCAGTTTATTCTGATATCACATAATTTGCATATATTATATCAGGTATGTCAGTTTTTCTTCAGGTGAAAATTAAACTTGTTAAAAATTACAATGAGGTAAATGTAACCCTGCTTGACCTCTGTACTGATGAGCGGCGTCGGGGTAATCCCGGTTCACTGCGCCAAAGCGATAAACAGTTCTGGATTACATGTTTCAAGGCTTGCGTTGTGTGTGTGTGTTTGCTGTCACGAGTGTCGTTATCTGTTCAGCTGAGCAAACATCATCTTACACACACTTCGCTCATGCAGTGTGTGATTTTGTTCCTCAGGTGATGAAGAGTGAGAATCCTCCCACTCCACCGTACATGTGTGGAGATGTGCTGTCGCCGCCGCTAGCCAGGGTAGAGGTCACCGTAACCACAGGTGTGTTACACACACACACACACACACACACACACACACACAGACTGATAGCTGGGGTTGAGGTCACCGTAACCACAGGTGTGTTACAAACACACACACACACACACACGTGTTCCTGATGTGTTCCTGTGTTCCTCAGCCTCCCAGAAGGCCTCCAGCATTCTCAGCAGCAAACCTCTGCTCCAGCCCAAACCCGTGTGTGTGTCAAGCCCAGCCAAAGCCCTGATCCTGCAGAGCCTTCCCGTTCCTGTTTCTCCCGTAGACCAGAGCACGCCTGGTGAGATCACACACACACATCTTGTGTTTAGAATTGGAACTGTTTATTGAACAATATCATCAACAACATAACCAGGAATATCTGGGAAAGCTAATTTCTGCCACACAAGGGGAAAAACCATGCTTTGGAAAATCTTAATTATGAGATAAAAAGTGCAATTTATGACAATATATATATATATATATATATATATGTATATTAAGTACATAAAAATGCAACAGTAAAAAAAAACAAATGTAAACCAATATAAATGTGAAAAAAGCAAGTATCGGACAAATAAACAAAAATATAATTATGATTAAATTATAGTTGATATTAAAAAGGTCTAAATTATGACTTCATATGCCAATTGCTAATTTTTATGTTGTAATTGATTTACAAAAGCATGTTTTTTTTTTTCTTTATTATGGGCACAGATATTTATATGTACAAAATGGGAAAAATCTTAATGTTGATGCTTGTAAATCAGTGAGATCTCTATAACAGGATATCTATAATTGGATATAAAATGATCCGGCTCAGTTGAGTGCATGCGTTTGGGATGAGAGTTCATGCTGTTACTTGACAATTATGAATTGTTCATCGCCACACTTGTGGAAACTGTGAGGATTTGTCATCAGGGTTGTTTTTCTCTCTGTGCTGCAGTGGTTCTGTCTCAGTCCGTGTGTCTGGGTTCTGCTCCCGCTGTCGTAAAGATGGAGCCGCTTTCTCCCAGCATGCCTCACTGCAGGAGCCCATTAGCCCCGCCCCCAAGCAAACCCATCATCCCCGCACCCGGCCCCCCCTCCAGCTGCGGAGACATCGACGTGAGTGACCAGTGTCTGCATCTCAGGGTGTGTCTGAGACAGGTGTGCTGAAGCGTGTGTGTGTGTGTGTGTGTATGTTCCTCAGATGAAGGTTCTGAAGCGGCAGCAGCGCATGATCAAGAACCGCGAGTCGGCCTGTCAGAGCCGAAAGAAGAAGAAAGAGTACCTGCAGAACCTGGAGGTGCAGCTGAGAGAAGCTCACCAGGAGAACCAGCGCCTGCGCAGAGAGAACCAGGAGCTGCGGATGAGACTCGCCGGGAGAGAGGTCTCACTCACTCACTCACTCACACATACACACACACACATATTTTCTCACACTGCAGAATAAAACCTCACTGCTTCTTCATACGGTGTAATTGTGTGTTGTGTGAATCAGGCCACAGAATCGGGCAGCAATAAGAGAGCGGTGTGTGTGATGGCTCTGTTCCTCTTCGTCACCTTCACCTTCGGCCCCGTCAGGTAAAAAAACACACAGAAACACACACACCTGAATGCCAGGGCTGGGATCAGGAACCATTGTTGTTCAGTTCCATCATAATAACTGTTTTCTACAGTGAGGACCCAGTTCTCCTACAGGTGCCTCCGTAATCGGTCAGTAATGATTGGATCTAACACACAGAATAGTCTCAACTGTTGCGTTCTCCTGCTGAACCGCTTCCAATCCAAATATTATTATACAAACTAAACCAGGTCATCCAGATCTGCAGGTCTGATCAGGGGTGTGTAGGAGCACTGTGAGAATGAACTGTTCCTCGTTTGTGTTCTGAGGTTGAGTGACAGTCGTTTGGAGCGAGTAACTGATGACTGGATCATCAACATTTCTCACATTATCACAGTTAATTCGCTATACTTTAGAAAATGCTGATAAACATGAGCAGTTCAGATCAGTGGATATTTGATCAGTGGATATTTGACTGGTTTTGTCCGTCCTTCTTTTGGACTCTCACACATGAGTTATGTTGAATATCTGTCAGCTGTTAAATTTAACTACACAATTAGAGAATACCAGTTTAGCTCAACCTGTGACCAAGCAGTGCTTCATGTTGGTCAGTGTGTGTGTAAAAAGAGCATTAGCAATTACAGAAAACACACTTCAGCAGAACATCATCAGCTTAAAGGGTCACTTCACCCATTTGCATTAAGCTTTGTATCTTTAGAAACCTAGTCATATTTTTGAATGGTCATGGTTTATTTCCTTATTTTCCCCTGAGATGGGAGAAATAAGGATTTAAGTGTTTTATTTCCTGCTTATCGTGACGTAAAAATCGTCATTTTGCGTCACGATAAGCAGGAAGTCACATTTCATTGAAATGTCAACTGACTAGAATGATTAGCTCATTATTATTCAAGGGTGTGGCACCCACTCACCCACAGGCCTATTACAGATCAGTGGGTAGGACTTCACTTGCAGAGACTGAAACCAATATCCGCCATCTTGTTTGGAAGCTAAGCTAACAAGCCCTGTGGAGGTATGAAGTTATGATAATGATGGAAGAAACTAAACATGATATGAAAGAAGAGGGTTTTGAAAGTCTGCTGCTCGAATCCGATGTTCGTGACTATCTTTACAAGCTGCAGTATAGTTTAGAGCAGCTGAGGCTGATGAAGGAGCAGGAGAAGCCTGGCTGTCGGTCGAGACGCCCGGACTGGGTCGAGCTCGGCGGCCTGCTGTTGCCTGTACTCTCGCTGCGTGTCACGGCCTACTAGACATGTGCCGGTATTCGGTAATGCGATAAATCGCGGTAATGAATATGCACAATATTGTTATCGCAGGCTCTTCAAAATACCGTGAAAAATAATAGATTCAAATTTAGCCTTTTTAAAAGCGCGCATTAGCTTATTTTCCTTCAACCGCTCAAACACTGCGTGCTGCGCAGAACACGCGCACACTCTGATGTAAACAATCCCCATTATGTATAAGCACTGTGTGCATGCAGCAGTGCGCACTAGTCTAATGTAAACAGTCCTCACATGGATCAAGCATGGCGGAATACTCCCGACGATTTATCCCCGCAGGGCTGCCAAACTCTCAGACATTCCGCTTTAGACTCAAGCTTGAGACTCTCAGACAGGACGCGGAATACGCGCGCGACGCGCAGGGTTGTTTTGTTGCTGCGTTGACCCGCATCGACCACGCCGGTGTTAAAGTTCAAAATAGTTCAACTTTTTATTTGTAAAATGGCAAATCGCGTTGTATCTGAAGGGCAACGTTGAACCAAGCGGCCGCAGCGTCGCGCATTCCGCGTCCTGTCTGAAAGGCGCTTAACGCAATTGACACTTTTCACACGCTCTCCCACAGAGAAAAATCACAGGGCAAAGAGGACACTGACACCGACAGACTAGACAGAGCAGGTTACTTTTGATATGAAAGTTGTTATTGATAAATTGAAGTTGATAAATCAGCTCTATAGGTTCTGATCACAGATCGTTGCTCCTCAGTTCAAGTAAACCGATCATCATGTTACTTTCGTTTTTATTTAAAGATACAGTATAACTTACCGAAAGGTACATTTACTTGTACATAATAACGATCAATCAGTGTTTTCAAACATGGAAAGAGGTCAGTAACACTGCAGGAGAACAGTTGTGTCACAAAACGTTACATTTACCTCAGGAAAGCCATTTAATGACCAGCACATTAGTTGACTAGAAAAAAATATCAAGGAGTATTTTGCTAAATATTATATTTAATTTCTCTCTGTATGTTTACAGCATTATGTGAGGTTTTTTTTTCTTGAGAAACATTAACAGACTGAGGCCTGCCTAATATTTATCCAAATGAGTCAATATTGAATTAAGACTGAAATCAAATCCAAAAATTTAATTGAATAATACAAACAGTAACCCAACAGTCATTGTAACATGTTGTCACTAAACTTTAAACAATTTGGTTTAGTTACCATATGTTTCGAAAATCACAATTACACATTGTGATACAAGTTGAGGTTTTTTTAGAGACCCACAATGCATCTGTTTTTCTTGAGCATTAAAATATAATTTCATTAAAATATAATATAAAATAAAATAAAATATATAGTGATAATACCGTATACCGTGATAAAAGCTCATCAATTAACCGCAGCATGAAAATTTGATACCGGCACATGCCTACGGCCTACGGACACAGAGTCCGTCTGCTGCAGAGAATTTCAATGATGGCAATTTCTCCTGGAGGAAATCTCTGAATCAGACGAGCACACGGACGTTTGTGTTGTGATAGTTTCGCCTTCAGAACATCCAGGTATCATGCAGTAATTCACCAAGCAGAAATAAATACAAACGCGGAGTAATTCACTAATGCGTTTACAAATGTAACGTGAACAGGGTTGTTGTGGGAAGAAAGAGACATGAACCGGCGAACATTTAAACATTTTAATAGTAAAATGAACAAATACAAAACAAAAGTAAGCCAGCGTTACACACAACAGAAACAAATAAACATAAAATCAGGCCTGTTTCTCTCTCGATCTGCCGTCGTCGCTCCCCATTTTATGCATTCGCTCCTTCGTGAGAGACGCACTGGCGCGCGCCTTACACATGTCTTTCATTATCACTCACGCCACCGGCCTCGCGCAGCGCGCCGTCCTCTTACATCCCTCACCCTCGATCGTCCTGCTCGCCACAGCCAACTAACTAGACTGGTGACAGCTAACGTTAATGTTAGCGCTGTAGACGGAAGAGTGTGTTTGCGTCTCTTTTTGCGCTGTTCCGGTGGGTGGGTGGGTGGGTGGGTTAGTGGGCGTGGCTTGCGGAGCTGTGCAATGTTGGCGCATTCTGGGAACTGTAGTTTTTTAACACAAAGGCGCCCCTTGGTTATTTTCTGTCTTTTCTCGGTCAAGAGGGCACCAAATTAAAAAATTATTTTACATTTCGACTACATATATGATCCACTTTCAATGAAGATTAATGTTGCAATGGGTAAAATGCTCCTTTAAATTTGTATCAGAAATGAAACTCTGTATTGTGTGTGTGTGTGTGTGTGTGTCTGTCTCAGTCTGCGAGAGCGTTCGCTGGAGGAAGAAGCCGTTCCTCTGACCGGTCGACACTTGCTGGAGTTCCAGAGTTCTCAGGAGTCGATCGGGAACACGGAGCGAGAAGAGGAGCTGGAGAAGGAGAGTGTACTCTCGTATCCGTTCAGGTGAGACTCTCTCTCACACACACACACACACACACACACACTCACTCACTCACTCACACACACACTCACTCACTCACTCACTCAGGGTTTCCGCGGAGTCATAACAAGTCATAAAACATCTTAAATGTAATAAGAATTGTATTACATCACACACACTCAAGCCCTGTTCACACTACACGCGACTTTGTCGCTGCAGGTCGCCAGTGGCTGTGCTGAAGGGCGTTCCCCACTACTGGTTGCCTAGTAATGTTTGTGAGTGACATTCACGGATGTTACTCTATGTTAGATAACAAATGCATTTTATTGCCTCTACAAACAAATATTTTGAAAGGAAAAGTCTAAATATAAATGGAATCAGTACATAAAATGCATAATATTAAAGATGAACGAGAAACAGTGAGTGCTCTTTGCCATCGTGGCTATTTAACTGCTGCACACGTGCAAATACCGGTCTATCTGGGTTCCCAAAACCATTCAGTCACGGAGTCAGTATGGTGAACACCACTGTATGTACGCGGAGATATATCATACATTATAGGACAGTTTCTGACTGCTAAAATGAGCTTCTCGTTCAACTTGCCTCGGTCAGATTCAGCACTGAAGAGTGACGCGCTCCACTGACTTCACTCCTAATGGTTGTCGCTCGCGAAAATCGCTCTTCATTTGCATAAAGTTAAAAATTTCTCAACTTTGTCACGTCGCTGGACACGCCCCTCTGGTCGCCAACGGTCGCAACCGTGCGTGTCACTGGAAGTCGCCCGCTCACCATTGAAAATGAATGGTTTCGTGTCGCTTGGTCGCATGTAGTGTGAACGGGGCTTCACACTCACTCACTCTCTCTCACACACACACACACACACACACATATTCACACTTACTCACTCGCTCACATACACACTCACACTCACACACACACACACTCACTCACACAGACAGACAGACACAGACACACTCACACACTCTCTCTCTCACACATATACACACCTGAGGTCATCGTGTTAGTGTGTGTGTTCTGTGTTCAGGAATGAGAGCGACGTGTTCAGTGTTCTGCAGGACATCGACCGGTACTTCTCCTCTCCGGACTGCAGACAGTTCAACCGCTCCGAGTCGCTCAGGTCAGTGTGTGTGTGTGTGTGTGTGTGTGTGTGTTTGTGTTTCTGAGTCTCTTAGGTCTGTGTGTGTGTGTGTGTTTGTGTTTCTGAGTCGCTTAGGTCAGTGTAAGAACATTACTGATTCACTCTCGTGTGATCCTCATGTTTGTTTGAGTGTTTGCTTGACTCTTGTGTGATCCTCATGTTTGTTCGAGCGTTTGCTTGACTCTCGTGTGATCCTCATGTTTGTTCAAGTGTTTGCTTATGTTAGGCGTTAACAGTTTAAGGACCCAGAACCAGATATGAAGAATAAAGATCCAGAGTCAGAATTATAAAAATTAAAGAAAAGTTTACTGAACATAGTTTTCAGTTTCATCAGCAGAAGTTGGCTTCAAGACTCACACAGGAGTTCGTAGGCTGCCCCCTTCCAGTTACAACAATCACAGCAGTTATACCATTTTCAAGGTCTAAGCTACGTCATTGCTTACACGTTGAATGATTCTCATTGGCTAAGAAATAGATAAACACAGTAATTTTCCACACATATGCACACATTTTCCACACATGTATATGACATTCAGAGGGACGTCATGACCTTCCAGGTCACAGATTTGGGTTGCTGGCACCAGTATGTCCAGAACGACAACTCATTCAACCTCCAATAATGGCAGTGGTTCCTTAACCTGCAACCAAGAAGACTAGCACTAAACTTTAGTCTAACTGGAGTAAGACTTTAACAAAGAAATGGTGCCTTAAACTGTTGGCTTCAATGACCCCTTTATGTTTTAACACTCAAATATAAACCAAAATCCCTATTTCTCTATTATTTTCACTGTTACCGCATTCACATAGGACACTAGCAAATAAGTGCTCCTATCAAGGCTGAAGAGAGTCTGAGCGGCTTATTATCAGTTAAGTGTACCAAAACATAATGGTAAAACATTCACTCGTTTGGGAGAAAAACAGATAACATTTGAAGAGCTCTTTTCCAAAACGCGTTAAACGACATTTTAAAAAAAAATGAGTTTGTCGTGTCATTCTGCTGTGGACAGAACCCTTTCACTGCTCTATCAACGTTTCATGCCGAATCGCTATATTTCCTTGTTTAAAATGTACTGCAAGATACAGTTTCTTTCCAAACCACGATAAGCGCCAGCCCTGTTTTTAGCCTAAACACGATAAATCCTCAAATTCAATGAGCGCTCTACACAATCCAGCACGGCTGCACTCTGAACAGAGGTTTATTATGTTCATTCATTCCTCAAAATGAGTCCTAGTTTTCTAGTCGACTAGTAGTAGATCATTTAAGCCATTTGTATTATCAGTAATCACATATATTGATTTAATTAAATGGGAGAGAAACCATATGAGCGTTTTTAATTGCCTATTCCGCATTTCAACGTATGCATAAAGCTTGCCACAAAGAACCGGAAAAAGTAATGATTATGCATGAAACATTTGAATTGTTTATTAATAAACTAGTGTTTTCTGTCAGTGTCAGCAACAAAGATAAAGTTGATGATGCTTACTCGCCATCTTCGCAGTGAACGCGCATAGGCATAGAGAAACGCATACTTCGAATTAGCCTGCATACGCAGAGAGTTGCCAATTTATTTTAGTTTTTAATTGTTTTGTTTAAAAGTAGATATTTAAAGCTTTCTGTAGCTTAGTTCTCAGGCCTGTGTGAGGCAAGCATCGCGGTGTTTCGGTTCATATTATGAGACGCGCTCCGGTTCACCTGCGCGCCTCTGTGTCCTGATTATATTGTCTGATATTTACTTCTAATGTATTAATCCAGTCAATTTGTCGATGAAACATTTATTAAAATGAAGATACAATTTATATGAAACGAAATTTACAAGCTTTCTACAAAACAAAACTTAATAAGTGGTCCAAATCATGTCTGACGCACTCCAAATATTTTCCGATATTGGGCAGCTTTTGAATTTTGATCCTATCTTACTCATCTCATGCGGTTCCCTTTTCATAGCCTACTCAACATAGATGAAATAATAAAAATAAGTAATGTAATATTATTAAAAACAAATGTGAAATGTTTATTTATTTTTTTTTTTTTTTTTAACTTATATTTAATCGTCATGCTGCTCCGCTTTGCTCACATGTTATGTAGCCTGTGTGTGTGTGTGCATGTGCTGGAGGGGTGCCCATCCCTTTTTTGAATATCGTTATCATATATTGATCATTTTTAATAATTCGTTTTTTTTCATGCATATGTTGAAATTGGTATTAATAATTTGTTTTTTTCATGCATATGTTGAAATTGGTACTATTTGTTTGAGGTTTATTTCGATTTATAGCGTTTTGGGAAAAAATAAAATTAACTTTTAAATTATCATTAACAATATTGTTGTTTGATTTAATAATTATTGTTCAAAATGTTCAGACTGAACCAATAAAACATTTAAACAGGATAATTTGAATATTCACAAAATGTGTGGGTCTAGGTAAAAAATGTAGTTTTCCTGAAAACTATTGAAATGGATTTATAGCGTTTTGGAAAAGAGCTCTTCATTTGCTTCCCAGAGAGCAAATATAATAGAAAGAATACAATACAACAATTAAAGTTCAATATAGCAATGCTCAATATAGCTTGACCATCTGTACAGAGAAGTATCATATGTGTTGGACATATGTGTTCACGACGCCTTTAGGATCCATAAACCTTTCTCCTGAGACCAGAGAAAGAGACAAATGGCCTTGTGCACCTAAAAGAAGCTGGTGACTTACATCAGCATGCATTTAAGAATATTATTTCACAAGCAAAAGCACAAAGAATAAATGTATATGTTGATAAATGATTAAGTAATAATGAATATACTTAATTATTGATTTTATAAAAGAAAAACATAAGCATTCAAAAGGATATATGATATATGCTGAAGAGGCAAGGGATTTTGACCACCCCTTCACTTGACTCCTGTGTGATCCTCATGTTTGTTCGAGTGTTTGCTCGACTCTCGTGTGATCCTCATGTTCGTTCAAGTGTTTGCTCGACTCTCGTGTGATCTTCATGTTTGTTTGAGTGTTTGCTTGACTCCCGTGTGATCCTCATGTTTGTTCGAGTGTTTGCTCGACTCTCGTGTGATCCTCATGTTCGTTCAAATGTTTGCTTGACTCTTGTGTGATCTTCATGTTTGTTTGAGTGTTTGCTTGACTCCCGTGTGATCCTCATGTTCGTTCGAGTGTTTGCTCGACTCTCGTGTGATCTTCATGTTTGTTCGAGTGTTTGCTTGACTCCCGTGTGATCCTCAGGCTGGCGGATGAGCTGCGCGGATGGGTGAACCGACACCAGAACAACCGGAAGTCTGATGGAAAGACCAAAGCAGTGAAGAAGACTAAAATAGCTCAGGTGTGAAACCACACACCTCGTATCGCGGCGGATATGTGTCGCACTGTGAGAACAGCTTGTGTTGCAGGATTTATACAGTCAAACCAACATTCACTCAGACACCTTCGACATTTCTCACATTATTACAGTTTATTCACAACAGTTTATAAACATGAGCAGAAGTCATTTCTCAGATCAGTGGATAATTGACTGGTTTTGTCCGTCCTCTGTTAGACTCTCACATATGAGTTATGTTGAATATCTGTCAGCTGTTAAATTTAACTACACAGTTAGATAATACCAGTTTAGCTCAACCACTGACCAAGCAATGCTTCATGTTGTTCAGTGTGTGTGTGTGTGTGTGTGTGTGTGTAAAAGAGCATTAGCAATTACAGAAAACACACTTCAGCTCAAAGTGGAGGAATCATTATTGGTCTCAGATGTTCACAGTTAACTTTATATTCAGTACCTCCAGAAAAACGCGATTATGCGATCGCTGAATTCAATGCAAAATCAGCCAAAGTCCGCATATTTATGCGGGGGCCGCATTTTTTCAAATACGCCTCACTTTCGCCGCATAAATTGCCGATTTCCGTGCAAAATATGCGGGGTTTGCATAATTTCATAATCCTCGCATTTTCGTTGCAAAAAAAGTCACATGTATCTTAGCAGAAAGTTGAAAAATGTTGCGTTTGCTTCACATAAGAGCAGCCATTTCCCCCTGTTTCCATAGGAACGTTATGAAGTGACGCAATTACGCGACGCCAGACAGACTCACGGAGGCGATTGACATCTCACAAATCGAACTCGTATATCTGTCTGTCGAACGTTCTACTGTCACATTGTTACTTAATAAACAACATAAGATAAAATTAGTAGCATCAAACAGAAATTACCCGCACACATGGGGTGTTCGACAGTTCAACAGGGAGCGCGCAGCTCTTAAAGGGGCCACACCTTATTTACACTCTTACAGTCTGAAATAAAACAAGATGAGAAATTAAATATTCCCAGCACTTTCTATGATGTAGTATGCTTGTTTATCAAAGGAAGTAATAAGAAATGACTCTTATATTAACAGGATGTTGGGGGAGTCACTTTTGTTCTCTTTTTCATCAAACTGCAATTTTTGCAAGTTCAGTCAATTTTTGTAAATTCCAGCAATTTCATCGCATAAAATTGCATAAATATCCCACATATTCCATCGCATTTTTAAAGAAAACTGGCCGCATAATCAATCAATTTTTGCCCGCAACAATCACACAAAAAAACTCTGTGTTTTTCTGGAAGGACTGAATACTATTATGGTAAATGTTAAATATAAATCGCAAATTTTTTCACAAATTTTTGGAAATTACCACCACAAAATCAGTCATTTTGATCGCAAAAATCACAAAAAAAAATCGTGAAATCCTGGAGGGACTGTATATTGCTCTCCTCGCTTTCATAAATGAACTATAGTGTCCTGCACACACTAGTGGAAACAGTATCAAAAATTATATCTGGTGTCTGAATAATCTTTGGTGTGTGTTCTTTCCCTTCATCAGCAGAAAGCTCAGCACAGAAAGACTAACTTCTCCAGGTACCTTCCAATCCAGGCTCATCGGTCCATCGAAAGGTAACTTTATTTCCCAGCAGCCTCTGAGCAAAGCAGGTCATGTGACATGTGATCTGATGATGTGTCAGTCAGCTGTCATGTGACCTGATGATGTGTGTGTCAGTCAGCTGCAGGTTCTGCCGGGGCCGGAGATCAGTTACAGCGACTTCATGGATGCCATCGACCGGCGCGAGGACACCTTCTACGTTGTGTCTTTCAGACGGGTGAGACTACACGCACACTCACACACACACACACACAAACTCTCTCTCTCTCTCTCTCTCTCTCTCTCTCTCTCTCTCTCTCTCTCTCTCTCTCGCGTGCTTTCTCTCTCTCTCACACACACACACACACACTCCACTCACTCTCTCTCTCTCTCTCTCTCTCTCTCACACACACACACACATTCTCTTGTCTGGTTTGCCATTTTTGTGGGGACTCTCCATAGACGTAATGGCTTTTATACTGTAATAACTGTATATTCTGTCTCCTTACACTAACCCTACCCATCACATACACTCACACACACTCTCACACACATGCTCACATCATCCTTGGCTTTTGCAGGATCACCTGCTGTTACCCGCCATCAGCCACAATAAAACCTCTCGACCCAAGATGTCTCTGGTCATGCCTGCCATGGCCATCAACGGTGAGTTCAGATCATTTACTCGCCTTTAAAAAACTCTCGATTCTGTGAGACAATTGGCTTTATGCACAGCTTCACTACTTCCTGAATTTCAGCCAGCTCCTTGTTTCATGTCTGCCATTATTGGACACATTGATTAATTCAGGTGTGCTTGACCTCAGTAGTCATGGCAACAATAATCAGACACACCTGAATTAATCAATTTTGCCCAATAATGGCAGACAGGAAACAAGGAGCTGGCTGAAGTTCAGGAAGTAGTGCAGCTGTGCATAAAGCCCATTGAAGATATTGTGAAAAATGTCTCATCGTTTTTCCCATAAATTGAATGTCCGTGTTTTTGAGTAAATGATGACTGTTTGTTTTTTGTGTGTATGGTCCCTTTAAACCCTTTAAATTGTTCGCAGCCAGGGCCTAAAGATGACTTCAAAATGATTTAAAATATATACACACACACACACACACACACACACCTTATGGGGATTTATTCTGAGATAACACACACACACACACACACCTGAAGGGGGTTTATTCTGAGATAACACACACACACACACACACAGCTGGAGGGGTTTATTCTGAGATAAAACACACACACACCTGAAGGGAGTTTATTCTGAGAACACACACACACACACACCTAAAGGGGGTACGAGATATTGATTTCAGATTAAACTGCTTTAAAATTGTTATGCAAAGCAAGCAAGCAAATTGTATTTATATAGCACTTTTCCAAACAAATGAATGTAGTTCAAAGTGCTTTACAGGCAAAACAATTAAAAGCAAGTACAGAATACAGGTAAATAACAATAAAAATTACAAACCCGATTCCAAAAAAGTTGGGACACTGTACAAATTTTGAGTAAAAAAAGAATGGAATGATTTAGAAATCTCATAAACTTATATTTTATTCACAATAGAATATAAATGACATATCAAATGTTGAAAGTGAGACATTTTGAATTGCCATGCCAAATATTGTCTCCTTTTGGATTTCATGAGAGCTACAAATTCCAAAAAAGTTGGGACAGGTAGCAATAAGAGGCCAGAAAAGTTAAATGTACATATAAGGAACAGCTGGAGGACCAATTTGCAACTTATTAGGTCAATTGGCAACATGATTGGGTATAAAAAGAGCCTCTCAGAGTGGCAGTGTCTCTCAGAAGTCAAGATGGGCAGAGGATCACCAATTCCCCAATGCTGAGGCAAAAAATAGTGGAGCAATATCAGAAAGGAGTTTCTCAGAGAAAAATTGCAAAGAGTTTGAAGTTATCATCATCAACAGTGCATAATATCATCCAAAGATTCAGAGAATCTGGAACAATCTCTGTGCATAAGGGTCAAGGCCGGAAACCCATACTGAATGCCTGTGATCTTCGGGCCCTTAGACGGCACTGCATCACACACAGGAATGCTACTGTAATGGAAATCACAACATGGGCTCAAGAATACTTCCAGAAAACATTGTCAGTGAACACAATCCACCGTGCCATTCACCGTTGCCGGCTAAAACTCTATAGGTCAAAAAAGAAGCCATATCTAAACGGGAACCAGAAGCGCAGGCGTTTTCTCTGGGCCAAGGCTCATTTAAAGTGGACTCTAGCAAAGTGGAAAACTGTTCTGTGGTCAGACGAATCAAAATTTGAAGTTCTTTTCGGAAAACTGGGACGCCATGTCATCCGGACTAAAGAGGACAAGGACAACCCAAGTTGTTATCAGCGCTCAGTTCAGAAGCCTGCATCTCTGATGGTATGGGGTTGCATGAGTGCGTGTGGCATGGGCAGCTTACACATCTAGAAAGGCACCATCAATGCTGAAAGTTATATCCAAGTTCTAGAACAACATATGCTCCCATCCATACATCGTGTCTTTCAGGGAAGACCTTGTATTTTCCAACAAGACAATGCCAAACCACATACTGCATCAATTAAAACATCATGCTGCGTAGAAGAAGGATCCGGGTACTGAAATGGCCAGCCTGCAGTCCAGATCTTTCACCCATAGAAAACATTTGGCGCATCATAAAGAGGAAGATGCAACAAAGAAGACCTAAGACAGCTGAGCAGCTAGAAGCCTTTATTAGACAAGAATGGGACAACATTCCTATTCCTAAACTTGAGCAACTTGTCTCCTCAGTCCCCAGACGTTTGCAGACTGTTATTAAAAGAAGAGGGGATGCCACACAGTGGTAAAAATGGCCTTGTCCCAACTTTTTTGAGATGTGTTGATGCCATGAAATTTAAAATCAACTTATTTTTCCCTTAAAATTATGCATTTTCTCAATTTAAACATTTGATATGTCATCTATGTTGTATTCTAAATATAATATTGAAATTTGAAACTTCCATATCATTGCATTCTGTTTTTATTCACAATTTGTACAGTGTCCCAACTTTTATGGAATTAGGTTTGTAATAAAAATACATACATACATACTGTACATATGAAGGATTTATTAGAATAAAATAAAAATTCAATTAGAAACTTTGTAGAATAGTGTAGGAAAGCCAGACTAAAAAGATGCGTTTTTAATATTTTCCGCACGTCTTACTTCTTCTGGAAGATTATTCCAGAGACGAGGAGCGTAGCGACTAAAAGCAGCATCTCCAAATCTTTTTCTTTTACTATGTGGTACTGTTAAGAGTAAAGAATTGGATGAACTGAGGGCCCTTACAGGTTCATAGACTGTAAGCAATTTTAAGAGATAGTCTGGAGCAATTCCATGCAATGCTTTATAAACTAATAAAAGGTTTTTAAAATCAACACGAAAACTAAGGAAGCCAATGTAGTGATTTTAGTATAGGTGTAATGTGTTCTCTCTTCTTGGTCTTAGTCAATACACGAGCAGCCGAGTTTTGTATTAATTGTAGTAGATTAATTGTAGTTTTTGGTAGACCAGAGAGGACAGCATTACAATAGTCAAGCCTGCTAGTCATAAATGTATGCATTAATTTTTCGGTATTGCACAGAGAGAGAAATGGTCCAATTCTAGCAATGTTCTTTAAATGATAAAATGCTATATTAGTAACATTGCATACATGCGTTTTAAAATTAAAATCAAAGACAACGCCTAACTTTTTTGCCACTTTACTTGGGTTTAATCCCAGGATATTTAGTTTAGGTATTAATTTTTCTATCTGTTCTTTTGATCCAATTATCAAAACTTCTGTTTTATCTTTATTTAGTTTTAAGAAATTTTTGCGACATCCAATCATTTATGTCTTGAATGCAATTTGCAAGTGAATCAATTTGCTCTGCAGTGTCATCTGGAGATACGGCTACACATAACTGTGTATCATCAGAATAACTATGAAAAGAGATATTATGTCTCGTAATGATATGGCCCAGAGGTAACATATATAGATTAAAAAGTAGTGGTCCTAAAATTGATCCCTGAGGAACTCCACAAAAGTACCTCATAATGTTCAGACATGCTATTATTGATAGAGACAACAGATCTTCCACCACTAAGATATGATACAATTTAAAACGGTTTCAGACAGGCCAACAAACTCGCGTAGTCTATTCAATAGAATCTGGTGATCCACTGTATCAAATGCAGCGCTCAAGTCCAGCAACACCAGAACTGAAGGCCAATTTCTATCTAAGTTTATTCTTATGTCATTTTCTACTTTTACAAGAGCGGTCTCTGTGCCCCGACTGAAACATCTCTAATTTTGAATGTGTATTTAAGAAAATACTTAACTGATTAAAAACAATTTTCTCTAATATTTTACTCAAAAATGGAAGATTTAAGATGGGTCTATAGTTACTAGGTCTTAAAGTATCTGAATTCACTTTTTTGTTTTTTTTTTGTAAAGGTTTCACTAGGGCCAATTTAAGATCACACGGGAAAATGCCAAGCTGTAGAGAGTGATTTACTATCTCAAGGAGATCATTAGATACTACATTAAAAGATAGATTTAATAGGAATTGGATCAAGTGAACAGGTGGATGGTTTTAGTTCCTTTACTACCTTTCTTAGGGTCTCAAACATCAAACAAAGTAAACCTTTCCATTTGGAAAGTATTGAATTCGCTAGGTTAGAGGGAGGAGGCATCTTGTTTTATTTTTATTTGCCAAGCTGATTCCTGATCTAATATTTATAACTTTATCTCTGAAGTAGCCAGCAAGCTCTTCACATTTGGAGCTTGTTAACACAGAACCGCAATCAATTTGTGATTATTAGTGAATCTATGGTACTAATTAAGAATCATGGGTTATTAATATTTTCATTTATAAGGTTTGAGAAGTAAGCTTGCCGTAATTTTTTTAACTTCTTTGTTGTAATTTTTAAGATTTTCAGTGAGTATATTAAAATGTATTTCTAATTTAGTTTTTCGCCATGTTCGTTCAGCACTTCTACATTTTCTTTTATTTTCATGGTCAAATCTGTCTTCCAAGAATGACCTTTTATTCGTTTTTTTGTTTGTTTTAAGTTGAGCAACAACAATCAAGTGCTGTTTTTTATTTATTATTAAGCTCATCAACTAGGACATCACAAAGATGATGGTAAAAATATCCTTTTCGTAAGTCATATAATGCATTGTAAACTTTTCTGCTACTTGTCCGTGGAAATAAAACGTTTTTTTAACAATACGTTCCAGTTGTATAAGGCATAGAAAGATCAGTACTATTAAAGAAAACACAAAAAAATGATCGGATAATGCAAGATCGACAACAGAAGTTATATTGATATTTAATCCAAATGCTATTACTAAATCCAATATGTGACCATGTTTATGGGTCGGTATGTTTACATGCTCTTTAAACGACATACATTCTAGCAGTTCCAAGAATTCATTTGCTCTGATATCTGTAAAATTATCAACATGTATATTAAAATACCCAGTTAAAACACAGTTGTCTTAAT